TACCTTTAAGGACTGGGCCCAGAAAAGGATGTCCGAATATCACAAAGATAAGTAAAATTTTATGTTACTTTGCAAACTTAAGTTAATCTTTCATTCTTACTGCAAGTGGCAGATTTCAAGAAGTTTTACCTCATGCGAGGTCTACCTTTATCGCCAAAAGGGCGAGAAATGAGTTGTTACCGATTTTGGTATTATGTTTTTCAATTACTCGCGCGTAAAACTAAAGTTGATGTATAATAGCGTTGTGTAAAGACTTAAATATTGTAAAAAGTTATTGTATAAATTTTATTTAAAACATTCTAGCAAGAAAGAAGTTTTAGTCTGAAAGACTTTTTGAAATGTAGTATTTCAATGTAGAAAGAATTGGCACTTGCTTTGAAAAGAATAGAAGTTAACAATGTACTACTAATGTATGTTTTCAAATGTGTAAAATTAACGGCATGTTGATATGTTCTTATATACAATGTGAACTGTTATTTTAAATGTTAAGAAATACCGTGATATTGTAAAAGTGAATGTTAAAAATTTTTTTTATTGGTGTGACTGTAAAAAGTCTAGATCATGGTGAATATGTGTTAAAGGTTGAATGATGTAGTTAGGCTCTCTGACGCTACACTTCAGAGTTAGACACTTTCAGAATAGTACCTCAGGGTTTAGAGTTGAAATTAGGGTGTGTTAAGAGGTCTTGTTATGTTGAATTTTAACACGTTAGTGTTTTGATTGTAGGAGGAAGTGTGGAACACGTAGACAGAAACACATTCGTGTTTGGTGTTCTTTTACAACACATGTCAGAGAGCACGGGGAGAGATAATTAAAATAGTCATGAATGAAATAAGAATGTTAAGTGAAATATAATTATACATGTTACTTGCCATTTCATTGTGTAACATTTCATTAAACTAGTTTTCCTTCCAGATCTCTGGAAGGAACCAGATTTGAATAAGAGCTCCTGTTTGGATGCAGTACAGATGAAAAAAATTGTGTATCCTGGGAGCTGCTATTGTAAAAAACAAATTTCTTTCTTTTAAATTTTTAGTTTCTAGCGAAAAATATTTGTAAAAGATTGGCCTCGCTTTAGATTCTAGAGCTAAAAGTTTTCAACAAGGTCGTTTTAGACCTCAGTTTCAAACTAATTAACTCTGGCGGGAAGTATGTAAGGATCTTAAGTTTTACTAACGTTTATTTTATTTTAAATCTTTACTATCACTTCTTATTTTCTACTTCCGGCCAGAATTATAAGCGTGAAGGTATTTATGCAAAGTTTGTCTGGTGAACGCCAAGTATTTAAGTTGTGGCTTTTTGCCAAGCGAGAGAGAGGAAGCAGTGAGTGGAAGCAGGCCGCTTACCTTAGAAGTTACGCAGTTGCTTGTTGCCTTCCAAGCCAGAGGTTTTAATCCTCTTGATAAATTTTAAACGTATTGTAGTGTTCACAATTCTCTGTACTGCATACGCTTCCTGTTAATATAAGGCCAATCTTCCACGTTTATTATTCTAAAGTTAAATTAGAGTTTAGTTTTATTTTTATACTTTTACGTTTTGACCCCGAGTAGCGGGTCGGTGTATTCCGAAGTACGGAAGTCATTGTAAATAGAGAAAACTAAAGGGTTTTGTATACCCTTCTTGTGTATCCTGTTTACTTCCCACAGTTTTGAACATAACTTTAGTGAGCTCTCTGTTCCGAGTCAGGTCCTTGCATGTTCCCGAAGAAGGTTAGAAGGAACATTGAACCTGATAATATGAAGTCTTTGGTTAATACCGCATATAATAAACAAACTGTTTATGAATAAGCATACTTTAATGGGAAACAGCATCAGTTATCTGGAACAATTTGAATATCTGATATTGAGCAGTAATTTTTAGGACATTTCTAGAATCTAGTTTATTGGACGTTAGAATTATTATTATTTATTATCATTAGAATTATTATTATTTATTAATTACATTTATTATTATTTATTATTAATTATTATTATTATTATTATTTATTAATTAATGTTATTATTTATTAGAATTAATGTTAGAACTATTATTTATTCAAAATGAAAAGCCTATATGAAATTAAAAAGTGAAATGTATAGCTACACAAAGTCTTATAATTTGTTTCCATATTGAAACTGCTTCAGGTTCTTTATAAAAATAATCAACAAATAAATAAAATTGTAACACGTAAATAAATAAAAATAAAATTATATTTTACTTGTTTTAACTGGAGAGGAATGTATAAATTGAAATAAAATGCAGTTACTAAAGAAATTATTTTTCACTATAACCTTACTTTTTGTTCCCAAATCATTTTGTCGATAATAAAATGCTTCATTTTAGGTACTATACTAATAATTATGCTATATAAAATATATTTATAATTTGAAATCTGTAAATTCTACGGGTTAGAAACACAAAATACCCAGGAAAAAAAAGTTTTGATGTACTTTTGAATAATATTACCAACAATTTTTCAGTGTAATTTCAATTTCGTTCCTGTATTTTGACTAAATTCGACTAAACAGTGCAGATATATAAGCAAGTTTTCACTTAAATGAATCGACATTGTGTGTGTGGGGGATTATGGCAAAGCCTCGAGGGCTATCTGCCTAAGAGGAGGGATGCCTTCGTGGAGGACTTTCTAAGGGAAACTGGCTCGTATACACGTTAGACATGGGGAAAACCACGAAAACGCCCATGCAGCCAGCCCGTTCGCGGGATTCGAACCTCGGACCGAACTACCAGTGTTCAGCGACTTTAGCGCTGGGCCGCTGGTGGGCCCCAATGAATCGACATTAAAATATAAAATCATATCAAAGAAAATATTTTAAAATACTCACTTGATTGCATCATCTCATGTATAAATGACAAATAAAAGCCAACTTGATTGTTTCTCAAAGGAAACGATTTAAATAACTTTTCATCGGATTCTGTACTTTTTAAATTCTTGAAACTTTCTGTGGCATTTCTACGAGGCTTCTCCATCATCATTTCTTAAGACGTCTAGATGAGAAACCAACGAACATAAAATATATTATTTCAGATACAAAAGCATATTGAGATTTGAGTTCGATTTTGTCTCAAACATGTGTTTCAAAATAACATATTTCGTAACTGAAAACAAACGTATGATTTAAGTCCATTGCTTTACAAGATAATTGATATCAGAAGTTCCAGAAAATTTTATCTAAATCTTGAGATGATGTGCAATTCAAAGTTGGGAAAACTATTGTCTTACAAGAAATTGATAACATACTTAAATTATCTAAAATGACTTATTGTTTATTTAACAGAAAATGATTACCGTCGAATACGGAGCATATGTGTTTTGCAACAAAAGTTCTCTTCTTTATCTTAAGAAATGTTGAAAAGCTTGCTTATCAAAATGTATTAGCAAAGGATAAAACCTCGTACTATAGAACTAGATGTTTTAAAAATTGAATATGGGGTATATTTTGCTTAAATATTGATTCTAGATATAAGCTTCGGATTATAAATTTTTTAAAATTATGTATAGATTTTTTGAAAGCAGTCTTAATACTGCAGTTGAGAATGTTTCGGTAAGGATACAATTGAATTTTATGTATGATTTCTTCAGATTTAAACTTCCATTTGATGAAACGGTATTTGTTCCACTTAAGTTATTGAAAAATTACAATAAAAAATTTCAGCTTATAGTTTAATACCTTGGAAAATTTCCCAATAAGATTTCAAGAAGTTAGAAATTGCTATTTATAATGTTTAAAATTGTTACAGGCTGTTCGATATACCGCTTTACAGAAATGGATATTGCATGCATTTTGGTAGTAACAATATATAAATAGCAATAATGCTTTTAGAGAAGAAAACCAAAGCAGTGTCACAGAAGTTCCCAGTTTAACGAAATCCAGAGCGCTAATGAAGAAGAGTGAGACGATACAGAAGAGAAAACAGTTTTTGAAAGCTACGGATACTATGACGAAATGGCATTAAGTTCAAAATGAGGATTGCATTGAAATCATGAAATGATACGTGATTTGTTTTATTTTACCGAAAAATATTATAAGCTGAAGACAACTGAAAATTTTGAACGTGTTTTTTTAAAAAAAATTTAAACTTGCATACAAGATGTGATACTGCTTAACACAAACGCATGCAATGTTTGCTTTTTCTAGACAGTGTACTGCATTTTGCATTTTCATTTTTGTTTATTGACCTTCCCTTACGCAGCTTGTTGAAATGGTTTTCGAAGTCCACTTTTATTACTATTAAGTACATAAGTATTTAATAGTAATAATAGTCCCTTCTGAAACCTCACCTTCTGAAGAAACACTTTTTCGGCATTTCAACTTCTTAACGCTTCTAGACATCTTTATATATAAATGACATCTTCACTTTCTCGCTCACCAGTTTCAGCCTTACTCACCAGAGTCACACATTTGGCCCTCCTTTTCCCTCTTGTCACCAACGGATTTCTCCTTAGACTTTTTTTGCTGTTAAATATGAAGGCCAAGAGTGCATGAAAACGTGACGCTTCGCGTAGAGAACTCATTTTAAAACATTTAACAGTATCGCGCTTTCAAACAAAAATACTATTGCTCCTTGAAAAACAGGCACACTAGTGCCTGACTCCCTCTAAATTGAAGGAGATTTTTGATAATTTAAATAGTGTGAGAATGTCATTGTGTTTTCGGATTTTCTACTGTTTTGCTACGCTTCAGAATGCAAGCATGGTTAAGGTGCTTAAAAAATACTGTTTCCTTTCCGAACTTTCCTGCTTCGATTAACTTCTGAAATTTGAGCTTTTGCTTTCCTTAGAGGAAGCATTATGCTAAATAATTTTAATATCATATCTTATATTTTTAAGTGCTAAATCATATACACGTATAAATATAAGAAAAAGGAAAACGATCATGAAAATATTTGTTATGAAGTCATTTATTGCAAACTAAAGTCATTTATATATAATATGTATATATATATACTATAGGTGCATGATATATTAAACCTTTTATGAACAAATTTAATATAATTTAAAAGAAAATATGCAAAATGCTCTTTTATTAAGCACTTATAGTACAAAAAAATAGATTCTTGTAAGAAAACAGGTTCATAGTGCATTTACAGTTTTTCTGCTGCAAAACAGTAAAACACGTCATCATGCTTATAATAAATTCTAGCTTCCTGGGGATAATATATTTTGAAAGTGATATTTCCGAAGCCTGCTTCTTTTAGAGCACGCACAATATCTTGCACATTATGCTGAAGGTAAGGAAACCATTTCCTGCCTACTTTCCACCTTCCTCCATTCTCGAATCCTGAAGCTACCAATCCTCCTCCTTTTCTAAGCAGTTTATTGATTCCCTTCAGAGCTGCAAGGAAGTGTTGAGAATCTGGACACGCAGATTCTAGTGTCAGCATTGTTATAATTAAATCATAAGGTGGTTGAGTTTCCGAAGAAATTAATTCTTCCATCTTCAGAATCTCATTTGAAAGAAGATCACATGAAACAACACATTTAACGGCGTTTCGAACTCTGGATTCAAGTATCTTTCTACCTTTTTCCAAATCACTAAAAAAAAAAGAAACAATGTTTAATAAAATAATGAATATTTGGTAAATACTACAGCAGAAAACTTTTAAAAAGGCCTGTTGATTAGTATGTAAAATTACAGCATTTGCTAGGAAGTAAAAAATATATCTGAAAGTACTTATCGGAAAAATTTTAAAATGTAACTTAGTATGGAATATGACTAGGACTAGTATTCAAATTTGTTTGCTTAAATCGATTAGAGCAGAGCACTCAAATTATGCCTACCTCATGAGAATGATTCAGGCTAGGTTAAGTTCTGAGAGATATTGGCTCACGATACACAACTGGAAATCTATGAAAAGGAACATGTAGCCAATCCGTTTGCCTCGATTTGAACCCGCGTCGAAGTTGAGTTCAGCGGTCTTTTCTGCTTATCCACTGTCGGTCTGTAGCTGCTTTTGCTGTACATTTTATCTACTTAAATTGCCTTGTTTATGAAAAACAAAAGAGGAAGCACTTACATGAGACGAAACTAGACTAAGAAGTTACTATGAAGCATTAGAATGATATTTTGCCAGATAGTGTTGGTCTGAAGTAGGTATTTCTAAGTGTTTGTTATGATGCCAGAGACGAACACAGTTTCAACTTAAAGATTATGGAAATAACTATACCTCTCGAACGATAAATGCTATATTGAATATCAATGAAAATTCTGTATGTGTAAGTTGTAAAGTCAAAACTCTATGAAGGTATTGGTGACTATGCATTACGAAAATAATTTTTAAATGCCATGCGACAGGTAGCTATGCGTTTCTTGGGAATTACGAAATTACGCTGCATGTTGGGAAGGGATAGCAGCTTATTTGCCAGCTACAGATGGTTAAGCAAAGGTTATATCAGATTAAAAATTGCCAAAAGCAGCATGCACATTGAAGAAATCTTTTCGACCATTCTTTACCTGAAACGTTTATCAATTACAAATCAAAGGATAGTTTTATATGCAAGATTCATAAGATTCAGTCTGTTTCTTAGGCTCTGAATGTTGTATGATGACATGATGGTCTTTTTTAACCTCTAATGGACCATAAAAATGACAAGTGTAAATAAAATAAATTTATTACTAAATATTATGTACCAAATTGTTACTTTTTAGCAAAATCGCGAAGAATAAAGCATTTGTCACACCGCTAGAATTAGAAGAAAATCGGAAAACGCTTGTTTTCTTTAACATTTTCTTTTCATTAATTCTCTCTATTTTGATTCTTAATCCTTCCTCCAACGCCTATATTAAAAAACTGGTGAACTATAACATTCGATAATGGAAGGAATTTTACCAGCTCTGAAAACTTATATGTGAGTGTTAAAATTTCACCTTTTTGGCCACGAAAGACTGAGATTTGGTTTTTAAAATAGAAGCTGAGTTTGAAATCTGTGAAATAACTACGTATAATACCAAATTTAATTATATGTCATACCAGCTAGAGCCGAAATATGTCCATACTATCTGGCATGGATAAAATTTTACTGAATAAAATTTTGATATACTGGATAAAATTATATACTGGATAAAATTTTGATAATAAATATGCCTTAGAAAGACTATTAAACACATTCAAAGATAGCAAAAAGAAGCGTATTAAGCGCTTAGTTGATTTTGCAGATAGGAAAAACCAATCAATTATTTCAGAAAATGGCATAACTCGCTACTGATGGTTCTTCAGATAAAATACTCAAAACCTTGTGATTTAAAGATATGCCTCATTTGATTAAAAAATATTTTATTAGTGTCCGAAGAAAAGTTAGAAAAAGTTTCAGTAATGGCCGACAAAATTATGGAAATTAATTCAAGACCGAAAATTTGTTCCGTTGGTGTGATTTAGTGAAATGAACTCAGATTTGCAGTAAAATTAAAGAATTTCATAAATACAGTTTGAATAAGTTATATTGTTGCGGATTTTCTATTTAGTTTGCTATTTTTAGTAGAATTGTAATTAAATTGTTTTATTTCCCCGTGCAAAGATGCGCGGGATGAGTTTTAAGAGAAAGCTACGCCGGAAAACTAGAAATACAGGAGCACAAGCATTTAACATTTAATAAATAGATATCTCGTAATTGTACTCATTTGCTTTCCAGAAACCTCGAGAAAATACAAAAATTTTCTCGTGCATGATTAAAACGTTTTTTACCGCTCCAAAAGGCTAAATGCCGAAATATCGAAATACGCTAAACGCACAGGACAACATAAAAATCACTATAAATAATGTAAGAGACTAACGAAGCGCAAATTTGTGCACCATGTAATATTTTATGTTACACTAGCAGCGGCCAGCCTTTGTCTGGCTTTTATATACACAGGAAAAATGCCTGAAGGGAACACGAAACGTTAAATTTTAAAACTGTGCAGAATTTTACTCTGTAGAACAATTCATCAAAAAAGAAACCCCACAAATTTAAAAAAGAATGTATTACATATAACAAAATTATAATAAAATAAGCAATATCCCTTAAAACAAATATTAATTATCCTAATAAATAAATTAACCAACTTCCCGCTGCCTTCTCTTAACAAGCATTCAGTACCCAAGAGAAACATTAAATTTAAAAACTGTACTGAATGATCGCCTTCATTTTTCCAAGTGGCAACAGAGCTGATTTTCAACAGTCAGCAGTCCGATATACAATTGAACGAAAACTGTTGTCAAAACCACATTTCTAAAAGCATGAAACTATTCAAAATGATGTGATAAATTCGAAAAGATAAAATTAAAAAAATCCGATTCGAATTTTGAAAAAAATCGCTTCGAGGTGCACTGGCTCTTGTCTAGATGCACCTATATATCAAATTTCGTAGCCCTGGGTCTATTAGCTTACGGCAGCACGAACGAAAGACACACAAACTCTTTCTTTTATTAGAGATAACTGTGTATAATCTGCAATTCTTGAAGTTATATCACTGTGAATAATATAAGAGCCTAACGGAGCACAAACTTGCCCACCACGTAATATTTCATGTAACATAACAGAATGTATGGATGCTTGAAATTGTTTCAGTAAATGCGCGGTTGCTGATTGCTTTATATTTTTAGTCGGGGTGACATTAATCCATTAGGCACCTCAGCCTTAGCCCGGATGTCATCTCGACGACGAGAAGTACCTTCTCGCTACCACTGCTGGCAACACGCTTGCACAGTAGGTATGTTCCTGGCAAGTGCGTCTACAGCACCGGCAGTGTGTCCCTGGCAGTCTGTCATCCACCTTCTGGTATCTTTATTACATGGCCTCGTTAAACTCAGTAAACTGATGATACTGCCTTCTTCGTCTCTTCAAATTCAGTCTTGACTCAAATCTCCCAGTCTTTTGATAAATAACGAATTTTACATCGCGTATTTAAAGTAAACGTGATTTACAAGCGCGTTGTAGAGCAACTGAAGCCACACAGCCGTCCAGACGGTAGAGTGGTTATGGAAGCCTACTGTGGTACCAAAGGGTCCGGTTTCGAATACCGGAAAAGCCATGGGTGTTTGTGACTATACAGTGTCTTTGCGACATGAGGGCACTCTAAACTGAAAGTCCTCTCAAGTAGTTTGATGATAGTGGAGAGGGGTTCAAAATTGGGGTTGAAGACCAACCTCCTTGAGGCTCTGACGACCATTTTTCCATGAACTACATGAACAAGACAACAATAACAACTAGCACTACACGAATACGTCTAACGCGAAATTTGAATATAAGTCATGCTTCAAATGAGCAAAGACGCCTCTCAAATATCGAGCACAACGCCTTCTTGGCATTGAGATTTCATTTTCCATTACAGTATTTCCACTAGTGTGTTTCAGTTTTACAGAACATACTAATACACTGTAGCTTATGGATTGCATTATTAAAATAAAATCAAAGCATTCTACACACATTTATAATGATTCTGATGGCTAAGATATTGTTCATATTTTGAAAAGAATGTACTTACTCTCCATAACCCTCAAGTTTAGCGACAATCTTAAGGAATGCGAAGTCGAGACTTATTTCGCCTTTATGCCAGCGCTTGAGAGCTTCACGGCTGCATTCGGTAAATTCACTTTGGACAATATTTGTATAGTAAGAACTAGCAGATGCAATATTGTGAATAGTGCTTGCGCTTCCGATTTCAAGGAGCTTTGTGCCTTCAAATTTCTCTGAAAGTATAGGAATAAAATATTCGGGCATTTAATGCAAAATATGTTAATGTATATTTAGACATTCTGAAAGTAATAAGTAATTAACAGATATGTAATAAGCATAAAGTTCAAGTCAGCTATATATAAAAAAATTTAATATAGAGAGCAATGATTTTTATTGATTACGTTATCCGCCATTTGCCACAACAAGAAAAATGAGGGATGCTCCGTTGAGGACATTTTAAGGGAAATTGGCTCATATTAACGTCGCAAACCGCGGGTACCATGGGTACCATAAACATGGAGTAAGCCATGAAAACGCCCATGTAGCCCGCCCACTTGGCGGGACTCAAACCCCGAATCGAACTACCAGTGTTCAATAGCTATTACTGCTCGGCCGCTAGCGGGCATATGGAAAGCATTATGCCACCTTTCCTGGTTTTCCAGGAGAATTCGGGGTTTCCGTTATACTTTCCGGTCTTCCAGCAGCTGACCGGATCTGCCAGTTTACAAATTCTAGCCTTAGTAAAGTATTTCACACCAGTAAATGAAATTTATTGTGTTAATGAAATTTAAATTATGAGAATTTCATTCCTCCATCTCGTAGTTATTTTCAGCAAAATGTTTCTTACTGAATTCGTTTTGATCTGAATTGTCTTAACGTAGTGTGGACATTTACAAAAATTTATATGATGATTCAACCAATGTGTAATTAGTTATTATTTCATTGCATTTTATCTTACTTTAAAGTATGGTACATAAATAAATTTACTCATACAGTAGTACGTACATTAATAACTAATTTTTTTCGCCGCATTTAAAAAAATTGTAAATAAAAGCTTTCTTTCCCTACTCAAGAATTTTTTCAGTACACAAATGTAAGAAAATTAGCCCAATATTATGTATTTAGAATATATAACTCATATATTTTATGTCAGAATAATACCATAAACAATTTAATAACTCGAGTCATGCTTTATGAAGTTGATATAAGACAGTTTGAATTTGTTTCTAAATATGTATTTAGAATGTATAACTGATATATTTTATGTCAGAATAATATCATAAATAGTTTAGTAACTTGAGTCTTGCTTTATGAAATTGATTTAAGACAGTTTGAAGTTTATTTTGAAATGGTGTCGCCTCCTAGCACGGAAACATGCCGGAAATTTCCTTGTTTGGGGCTCGGAGAACCTTCCATTTTTCTTCATTCAAGGTTGGTAGTTATGACAGCCATGCCAATGTAATATACGCGCCAAAGTGTAAAATATGGGATTGGGGAAGGAGGAGACAAAATTACAATCAAGACTCACGATTACAGTCTAGCACCTAGAAGAATTTACTAACAAAAATTTCAAAATTGTTGAAAAAAGTATTTAATAAAATAAAATTTATAAGAATCTTAAGGGCAGACAAAAAAATGCGATCTAAATTTTAGTATGCACATTTTAATTTAACACTTGAAAGAGTTTTAAGCTAAAGAAATACGATAGACTTACTGGTTTAAGAACTAGTCGTACCAAACTAAAAATATAGAACATAAAATGTTATATTTAAAATGAGCTGTTCAAGATGGCGATACAGAAAAAAATTACTATACGACTGGTTCCATCTCAAATTAATGTCTCGTAGAGACTTCTCCACTTGTTTAACAAAATACAAATTTAATTATTTAAGACGTAGCTGTTAATTTACCTCAGTTGCAAGGTGAGGTCCTTGTAACATTTCAAACATGTCACACTTCCACAATTGCAGTATCGCATCTACGTCACATAACTTGACTCAATGTCTTCCTCATGTGTGAAGCCTCACTGCGTATAAGGTCACACTGCGACTTTGTTGTAACGTCACTCTGCGACTTTGATACATAATCACAAAGTGAGATGAGGACATTTTAAGGGAAACTGGCTCATTTTAATGTGGCAAACCGGGGGTACCATGTGTACCATAAAGTGGGGTAAACCATGAAAACGCCTATGAAGCCAGCCCGCTCGGTGGAACTCAGTATTCAGTATTCCATCTTTCCTGGTTTTCCAGGAGACTTCTGGGTTTTCGTCATATTTTACAGTCTACCGGGAGATTGTAAAATATGACGAAAATCCCAGTAGCTGACCGGATCTCCCGATTTTAAAATTCTAGCCTTTACTTAGGAAAGTGTTTCACATCAATAAATGAAATTTATTGCATTAATGAAATTTAAATTATGCAAATTTCAATCCTCTATCCCGTAGTTATTTTCAGCAAAACGGTTCTTACTGAATTCTTTTTGATTTGAATTGCCTTAATGTACTGTAGACATTTACAAACATTTATAGTGTTACGGATTTCGTATTTAAATAGCTAATGTTAGTTGAATTATAAATTAAATTGTTTTATTTCCCGTGCAGTGCAGCGCGTGACGAATATTAAAGGAAAGCTAAGCTGGAAAGTTAAAAATACAAGAACACGTGCATTTTAACATTTAATAAATAAATATCTCTTTTTACTTTCGAGAAAATTCCAGAAATTTCTTGCGCGCGATTTAAAATCTTATAAAAGGAGGAAAACCTCTCAATTCGTAGTTAGAGTTCTAAAGATTTTTAAAGTGCATGGAATGAAAGAATTTTAGTGAGACACGAATTCTTTTTCCTTTGCGATGTGTAGTTAAAAATTTTGTGTCTATAAATAAGTAATTGATTTGCGAAACCGAAAAACAAAAATGTCCTTTTATAGGACACCACTCGATAGTTCTGAATGAAGGAGGACTACCGAAGCGAGCGTTCGTCCGAAACCAACAAGACCTATCCATTGAAGAAAGAGGAATTTCATCCTTATGGCCAAAAGAAAAGAAAAGTAAAGCGAAAAAGGCGAAAACCATGTCAGATACCGGAAAGCGAACAACCAAGTAAGAAGAGAAGATGTTAAACCTGGTAAGGAAAAAAGAGACATTCAAACACCGAATGGAGAAGCTACTGATGAACAGACACCAGAAGATTTATCAATGAGAAATGATGAGGACATCCCAAAATTCAAGTCATGTTCTGAAGAAGAAATCCGGAACCAGATTGCGAAATTTGGATTTGACGTAATTTGCAATTACTTTCATAAAAGAACTAAGGGTGAGATGGATGTAAAGACATTCACGAAAAAATTTTATCCAGGGCAGATAACTGAAAGAGGAACAGACAGTAGGGAACAAGAACGGATTTCTCCTAAGAAAACCGCGAAAGTATCAGAAAACGAAGCTCCAATGGTAGTTACGACGGAAAATCGATTTGAGCAGCTAAGTGAAGTAGAAGGTATGGAAGAAGAAGGAGGAGCCGAAAAAGAGGAAACTCCATCCCCAATAGTTTTCCAGCAAAGCGAAGTGGATTGGCGTAAAATTCATGAAAACCTTATCAATACCTGCAGTGAAGAATTCGAAGCCGATATGAAAATGAAAAACTACTATGTTAATTTAAAGTCAGTAGACGATTACAGAAAAGCAACTCTGGTTTTGCAGAAAAGAAATATACCCATTTCATACTTTCCAGTTACTCAGCGAAAACCTATTAAGGTTGTTCTTAAGGGACTCCCATCCACGATGAAGGAAGAAATAATCCAGGCAGATCTGGAGAGAAGGAAATTCCCGATAAGTAAAGTCAGGCAGTTTTCCAGACGAAGAGGAGAAGCTATCGAGAAACTTCCTATTTTCCTGTTGGAGCTGAAGAAAACGAAGGAAGGACGTGCAATTCATGGGCTCAACAATATGTTAAGTGTTAATGTCAAGATCGAGAAGTTTGCCCCGAAAAAACTCATAATTCAATGCTCTAGATGTCAAGAATATGGACATTCGCAACATCTTTGCTCAAATGCTTAGCGATGCTGCAAGTGTGGACAGCACCATAGAAGTAAAGAATGCCCTCTAAAGCCAGAAGAGAAACCTAAGTGCATCTTCTGCTCACTACCGCATGTAAGTTCATACAGAGGTTGCCCCGTGTACAAGAAGCGATATGAAGCAAAGAAGCAGCAGGCGAAGCCAGCAGCTAAGATCCCTACGCCGGCAGATTTTCCGAAATTCATCGAAACAGAGGAAGACAGCAGTAAACCCCAGATGAAACCTCTCTACAGTGTTAGAATAAAGAAAAAATTGGAAAACCCACCCACAGAGTACAAGGATATCATAAACTGGATCCAAGATTCTAAAATCAAAAAATTTCTGAACAGCATGGTTGAGCACGTTGAGAAGATCCGCGTTGCAAAAACCACGGCTGAGAAGTTTACTGCCGGGTTCAAAGCAGCCATGATACTGATGAGATTTGCTGAAAGTGAAGAGTAATCACCAGCTTAGAAGCATTTGAGGGAATTTCACTATGTTTATCATGTTCTGTGTTCCTCCTTACTTGCTTAGGGAACATTAACTGTCCTGACTCGGAACAGGGAGCTTACTAAAGCTATGTTCAATAATTTTGGGAAGTAGACAATACACACAGGAAGGGTATACGAAACCCTTTATTTTTCTCTCTTTACAATGATTTCCGGACTTCGGAATACAGAGACCAACCACTTGTGGTCTGAACGTAAGAATATACAAATATTAACTAAACTCTAACTAAACTAACTTTGGATTAATCAAACAAGTGCCTAACTCCAAGATTGGCCGTATATTAACAAAAAGCCGTATGTAGTACAGAGAACTGCTAACACTACGATACGTTTAAAATTATCAAGAGGATTAAACCTCTGGCCTTGAAGGCAACCAGCAACCGAGTAAATCTACTATGGCAAGCGGCCTGCTTCTAATAGCTCCTTCCTCTCTCTTGCTTGACAAAAAGCCACAACTTAAGTACTTGGCGTTAGCAAGACAAATTTGCATAAATAAGTTAAAGCTTTTAATTCTGGCCGGAAGCAGAAAATAAGAAGTGATAGTAAAGATTTAAAATAAAATAACGTTAGTAAAACTTAGGATCCTTACATACTTCCCGCCAGAGTTAATTAGTTTGAAACTGAGGTCTAAAACGACCTTGTTGAAAACTTTTAGCTCTAGAATCTAACGCGAG